CTCTCTCTCTCTCTCTCTCTCTCTCTCTCTCTCTCTCTCTCTCTGTGTGTGTGTGTGTGTGTGTGTGTGTGTGTGTGTGTGTAGGGGGGGGCATACATGGCACAAAACGCATGTAGATGTCACAGGTCAACTTATGGGAGTTGGTTCTCTCCTTCTTCCATGCGAGTTCCAGTGAATGAACTCTGGTCATCAGGCTTGGAAGAAGACACATTTACTCTGTGTCATCTTTCTGGTTCCAAACAATGTTTTAGGCACGAACACTATAAACATGCTAAAATGATGACACTATTAATATCAAAATGTATGTGAAATACAAAAATATTTTCTCTTCTAAAAAACAAAAGTTCATATTGTTTAGTGAGTCAGAGAGAATAATGATTGACTTAGAAACTGCAAGGCAAGTACAGCTTTGGCACATATTAGTCATAGCAGATGTATAATGTACAACACTTACCTCCATTACACGGTATAGATCTTGAAAATCAGAAAACAGAATGAAAATTGTGAGGCCCACAGCAGCTGTCAGCAGAAGTGAGAATAAATCTGAGGAAACACCAAACACGATTTTCAGGTGCGAAGAGGATGCCTCTCATAACTTGGCACATGCCAACAATCGGTTCATGTTGGGCAAATGGTAGCTGTATTTTCAGATGTTTTGATACATCATCATATGTTTTAAAATATGTTCTAATGTTTATAAGATAAAGGTGTTATATTAAAATCTCTCCTCATAAAGATGGAATCAAGCATGTTATAGAAACTTCCCCGAAGGAATCATCTTGACTGAGTGTCCCTTGGGTGGAAACATGCTGCCGTGACTAGCCTGACTGAATGGTTACCAGAGAAACCCTGCTCATGCTCACACCATCTAGTGAGACACACACGTAGGATGCACCAGTCCCGATAGCATCTTCCTCTTTAGTTCCACGAGGATGAGGGACAGGAATCTGCCACTGGCACTCGGGGCTTTCCAGTGTCAGGCCCGCCAGGCTTTCTGAAACCCTCTGCCCACTCACATTCTGTTCCTGTCAAGAGATCCTTAAGTGCCCAGTGTAGGCAATATTCCTTCTACCATGGTACATTTCACTTCCTCCATGTAACGAGCCCAATTCACGTACCATTTTTCTTCCAACTCCCTAACCCTCCCTTACGAAGTTTATTTCATATCACACATCACATTCTGATTTGTATGATCACAATGGATCTCTCAACCAGGTTGTGGCTGCTCAGAAGTGGCTGTATCTGGAGCTTTGGGACTCTGACTTGGGAAAGGTAAGTTAGAAAAATATGCAAAGCTGCTGGACTTCTCACTTCCTGCTTGACTTTTAGAACATAAGCATCTCCAGTGTATTATATTAAAATCCTGCTCTTAGCACAAACGCCTACCCACTCCTGTGTCTGCCCAAAGAACTCTGCAAATAGTGCCTTGGGAATGTTTTGGATAGGGAGATAGCCTCGGGCTCTGAGCACTAGAATCCACTGAGTATTACCACGATTGAGCTGATTCTTAAATCCTGTCTAGGTTTTCTATATCTGGACCAACTAGAAACCCGAGATGAGTCCACAGAAACTGTTTCTGAAGACACCAGGGTTGGTTTTACCTTTAAGCACCTGTACCCACCCTTAGCATTTCCCCCAAACATTCTCAGAAGAATGATCACACTTGCTTAGAAGGAGAGTGAGGCCCAGAAAGAGAGAGAGGGAGAGAGAGAGAGAGAGAGAGACAGAGACAGAGACAGAGACAGAGACAGAGAGACACAGAGAGAGAGACAGAGACAGAGAGAGACAGAAAGAGAGAGAGAGATGCTCCCAAATAGTGCCCATGATGGTGACACAAAGATCACAGGAGACAGCAACGTGTTTTTTGCATTTGTTCCACTGTTGAGTTTCCAGGACCCAGAAACTAGAAAAGGAAGGTGACATCAGCTGCTAGTCCTGCTGAAGACCCGATTCTTATTAGTGACTGGCTGAGTCTTGTACGTTCAATGTGTCCTCGGGCTAGTGATCTGCAAAGCAGGCCCTCTCTCTTACTTCAACTTTGGTTAAAAAAAATGCAATGAAGAAACAAGAGTCTGCCCTCCGTGGTTAGCTGCTGCTGATAAAGAACGGGGCCCTATGGAGGGAAGTAATCTAAGAAACAAATACTGCACACCCACTGTAACCTGTTTTCAAATAAAGGAAGGGTTGGTAATACTCACACTTGTTTACGGAAAAAAAAAAGTAAGTGTGTACTTTTTCTGTATTTTGTCATCATAAAGCTGAACTCTCAAACACCGATTAGAAAAGCATGGTTTTTGTTATTCCAAGATGAAATCACTTATATTATGCATCTTAGTACCTCTGAAGGCTTCTGAATTCTAACTCGGAAGTTTATAGTCTGTAATATTATGCATTGGGGCAGGCGAGGCAGTTCGGGATTCAAGAGAATATACTGCTCTTACAAAGGACCCAAGCTCTGTTCCCAGCATCAACACAGCATGGCTCACTGCCACCCACCAGTCCAAAGCCCTCTTCTGGACTCCATGGACACCTTCAGTCACGCGTGCACAGACCCTGCCACACACATATACACATACTTTTTTAAAAAAAAAATTTAAAGATTATGTGTATTAGAATATTTGGTTATAAAACCTCTCTCATTTATTAGTTACATCAGTGATGTGGCTCAGGAGATGAATGTATTTGCCGCTGCCCTGGTTGGGTTTACGTTAACTTGACACAAGCTAGAGTCATCTGAAAGGAAGGAAATGCAGTTGAGAAAATGCCATCATAAGATCTGGCTGTGAGGCATTTTCTTAATTAGTGATTGACGGGAGAGGGCCCAGCCCATGGTGGGTGGTGCCATCCCTGGGCTGGTGGTCCTGGGTTCATGCTAAGCAAGCCATGAGCAGCAAGCCAGTAAGCAGTACCCGTCCATGGCCTCTGCATCAGCCCCTGCCTCTAGCTTCCTGCTGGGTCTGTGCTCCTGTCCTGACTTCCCTCAATGTTATGCTACAATGTGGAAGTGTAAGCTAAATAAACCCTTTCCTCCTCAGCTTGCTTTTGGTCATGGTATTTCAGTGGTTCTCAACCTTCCTAACGCTGCGACCCTTTAATATGGTTCCTCATGTTGTGGTGACTTTCAACCATAAAATTATTTTCATTGCTACTTTATAACTGCAATTATGCTATTATTATGAATCATAATATTAATATCTGTGTTTTCCAATGGTTTTAGGTGACCCCTGTGAAAGGATCATTCATCAACAAAGGAGGTCATGACCCACGGGTTGAGAACCACTGCACGACAGCAGTAGAAACCCTAACTAGGACAGCCACCAAAGCTAAGGGCTTGAGTTCAATCCCTGGAGTCCCCTGACTCCTTCCCACTGGTTGCTGTCCTTTGCCTCCACATGCACACAATAGCACACACCACATGACAGCCCCCAACTGGCGAGGATGACGTGTCTACCATGAGATAGCAGTTTTCCTTTAAGCTTCAAGTCCCCATGTTGTAACTAATCTAACTCTAATTCACTCCGTGTGTGTGAAAGTCCCTTGTATTGTATTCACTACTAAAGCACCAGGCAGTGAGACTATCCCACTTAATACATTTACCTTGGAAATAAGGACTATAAGAAATAACCTCAAAATATAAAGCAGAATCTTCATTTGTTGCAACAAGAGTCAAGGGTACGTTCAAACACTGCTTTCAAAACTGAAGGAAATGATGAGAAACTCCGACGTTGACAGGAAATGAAAGATCAGAGGGAGGCACAGTCATGATCTCAAATCCTTTGAGAAGACAGCTTTGCCAAACTTGTTCAGGAACAAAGAGAATCTGGATAATATAATTGAATGAAAGTGCTTCAACAATAGCTGCATATTTAGAACTTAAGGCCAGGAGCTTCACATATACAATACCAAAACTCCAAACAGGCGTCGGAGGCTAGGCCATCTAGTCACAACTACCAAAACAGACATTTGTGACCTAGTTTAACTGAAATGCACCCCCACCCCACCCCAGGTACACAAATAAGAAAACTCATTAAAGTCTATTATATAAAAAAGGAAACAAAATGTATGTTTATGAACTATTAAAAGAAGAAAGAAAAAGGAAAACGAAATCTGACACCACCACCATCACCCGTGCCCCCACAACAAGTAAAATTTATTGTTCTGAAAAGTGTTAAGCCAAAGAAGAAACTGAGTCAAAGTTACTGGTAGGGTAAAAAAATAAAGAAGGAATCCAAGCTACAATGACTAGTCTTGAATGCTTTCCTACTCTTAAAAAGATGAAGAGACGTACATGGACCGTGACGTTAACTCAAAACAAATTCAAGGAAAGAAGGGAAAACAAACCTTAATAAGTGAGAAAAATCAAAACCAATACAGAATTAAAAGTCTGAGAGCTATTTTGTTACGAACCATTTTTAAAAAAAGTGCATTTAAGGCAAGAAGAAAAAGAAAGAGCAACACTCCTGTGTTTGGATCTGAAACATCCACCAAAGGCTCAGGAATCGAGGGCGTGGTCTCCAGCGCAGCACAGAGGTGGTATCTTCAAGGGGTGGGTAGATAAGGAGGGGGCTAAGCTAATCAGGAATTATCCCACTGGCAGGCTCACAGCTGAACGAGCTGTTGTGAGGTTGTAGAAAATTGAGACAGCAGAACAAAGTTAGCAGGACTGTACACCTGAAAGGTACATGCTGTCCCTGGCTCCCCCACCCGACCCGGGCCGCTTCCTTTCTCGCCTCCCCCAACCGCCATGCCCCAGCTTGCCCACGCCCTCCTGCTTTCTCCTGCTTCCTGGCCTACAGAAGATGAGCAGCTTCGCTCTACCATGTGTTCCCTGTCAGTATCTCTCCCACACTGAAGCCCCAGACGCACAGACAAGAGTAGCCACAGGTAAAGTTTAAAAAAAAAAAAATCCATTAAATTTTTTTTTAGGTATTTTGTCACACTTAGTGAAAGCTGGTTAATACATACATACATCTCATCAAGACCATAGTAAGGGTCACAGAAAGCAATTAAAACTTTAAGAAAAAATCCTACCCTGAACTGTATGATCAAGTTTGATAATATCAATGAAATGGTATTATGTGAGCAAAAAAAAAATATATTATTTAAAACATTATAACCCAAATCAATCCTTAAAACACCTTCTCAAAGGAAGGATTTAGAGCCAAGTAATTTACTGCTAGATTTTTGTAAGATGTCAAGGAAGAAATCATTCTTATGTATTAAAATCTTTATAAAGGAAAGAAAAAGTCAAGCTTTTGTCTAAAAGCCAAACATAACAAAAATGTGCAAAAAAAAAAACCTTCTGAAAAATACAGCATGAAATGTAGTTCTTAAAAAAGCTACAAAATTCAAACTAGTAAAAGTTTAATCTACTATAAGTAAGTAGGATGTTTTCAAGAATATGATTTAATAACAAAATGATTAATATAATACATCTGTACACTGAATAAGAAGATACAAAAACGAGTATTCATCTTGGTAGATGGTGGTAAGCCATTGTTGAAGTACGTCTCCTAACAGGATTTTAAAATCTCTCTTGATTAGAAGTATTTTATTTACATAATGGAAGCTTTCCAAGATGATTTCACCAACAGCCAAGAATATATTTATAAACAATGTAAGCGACAATAACCACAAGTGTTGCTATTAAGGTGTATTTTCATCCGTTAGCCTTGATATTATCTGACTTTGTGCTGAATTCTGGGTTTCATTCATTAGAAAACATAGGTAGATATTTAATTGTTTAAAAAGAAGAAGGAATAATTTTGTTTGCACTTACTAATCTGTGTTTTTCTAAAACACTTAAGACTCAAGGTAACAACAAAGGGCAGGAAGGAGTCTGGGTGAAAAGTGAAAGTAATACCATACCCTTCCCATGTCACAGTGACATGCAGTTATCAATGCAACAGAAAGAAGCCATTCGTAACACAAACAGGCAGGCAAACAGGATTAGATTCTTTTTTTTTTTTTTTTTTCCGTTTTTCGAGACAGGTAGTTTTGGTGCCTGTCATGGATCTTACTCTGTAGACCAGGCTGGCCCCGAACTCACAGAGATCCTCCTGGCTCTGCCTCCCAAGTGCTGGGATTAAAGGCATGTGCCTCTGCCACATGGCCAGGATTAGATTCTTAAAGCACAGAACCTATAGTGGAATAAACTACAGACATTAATGGATAAATAGGAAATGGGAATAAAGGTGAGGCGTGGTATGTTTTGCTTGTGAAATATCCCCCATAGGCTCACTCATCTGAACTTGGTCCCAGCTGGTGGGCACTGCTTTGGAAGGTTGTGGGACCTCAGGGAGGTGGAGCACCGTTGGATGAAGGCGGTCAGTAGGAGTAGGCCTGAGATATCTCTATAGTGTGGGCCCACTTCCTGTCAACTTCACTTCCTCCCTGTGAACGCAGCATGGCCATCCATCGCGTGTTTCTGCTGTTGTGCCCTCCTGGCCCTGAGGAACTGTGTCCCTTCAAACCGTACAACAAACAAGGGCTTCCTCCATCAGGCTGTTTCTTGCCGCATCCTTGGTCAACGATAATAAGAAAGTAGCAAATGAAAGTGGACTGCTCCTATGTGGGAAGATTAAATTATATAAATCCATAAATTCTTCCCAAAGTGTCAAGATCCCAAGTGAGAAATTTTGAAGCTGGACACTTTATTTTACAATTCATTTGGAAGAAAAAAAAACATGAAAGTAAGATAGTGTTAAAAAAATAAAAGAAGAGAAATGAGAATATACTGCTGCTTATTAAATAATAAGCTTATTATTAAGGCTGCTTATTAAATAAACCATGAAACTATGCTTAGTAAAGTGCCATTGTGCATAGTATCAGTGAGATAGAAAAGACAGTGTGAAAGCAGAGTAACTGCAAAAATATGTACTATATGGCGGTAACACAAAGGTACAGTATCTAATACAAGTTACCTAGAATTAAACAATAACTTACATGAACATAGATATGATAAAGCTGGTATTATTCTTAGTGGGAGAATAAGTGAATGAAAGAAATATTAGATATTCAATAGAACAAAAATCTGCTAAACATTGATTAATTGGGTAAACTAACTTGACTCACATGGTAATCATATCACATTGTATTAAAATTTAAAAAGCGTTTAAAATATTTTTAAAATAAATGAGTGTAATCTGCTCTGTTTTGTGATTAGAAAAACCTTTCTCTGCATAAAGGCAATGGGAAAAAATAACTACAAAGGAATAAACAGCTCATACAGATAAATAAGGAAAGTAGCAGAAATCTAATATGAAAATAGATTAAAATGTACACAGATAAGCCATAGATGACATGGTTAATAATACAGATCTGTATTTCCCTTCACTGAAGATAAAAAGCCAAATTAACACTAAATGAAATACCACGCTCTAAAAAGTCTTATCAGGTCAGCAAAAGTTTGTTTTTAGTACAGTATTTTCACATCCCTTCACGAGAAAACTGTTATGAAATGACTGTCTAAAAAGCAACAGTGATAACTGCTATAAATATCCTGGAAATCAATATAAATCATATCTCAAAAGCTGAAACATTTTCACCTGCTTTCACCAAATAACTGAGCTGGTTTGCTTAAGGAAATCATAGGGCCAGTTGAGACGATTTATAGGAGTTTTGCTTTGGTTTTATTCTTTGTAACCCAAGCTGCTTCAAATTCACCAGTAGCCCAGAATGCCCCCGAATTCCTACCTTCTTCCCTCTGCCTCCTGAATGCTAAGGTTGTAGTCATGTGCCACTACTCCTGGTTCGTGTGTATTGGGGATTAAACTCGGGGTTTGCGGCATACTAGGCAAGGGTTCTAGTAACTTAGCTACTTTCCCACGCGGCATGAGTATGCTTTGACATGGAATTTTTTACAATGCTCACATGGCAAAGCCAGCTGTGTGGAAGACAAGATGCCCATGCATCTGGATTTCTTAAGGTTCTGCTTGAGGTGGCATAATTACTGTCTACTTCCACTTCCAAAAGTGTGGAAGGACATACTCTAGCTTGTTTGTTTTCCTGCCTAGAGGTCTTGAGTGTAGCTCCAAACACTTTGAGGGTTTTGATTTGGATTTGCCTTTATTCTGCTTAGAGAAATGTATTGGGGAAGTAAGGCTTTTTTAAAAGCATATGCTATAAATGTGGGGACATACTTATGTGTTGCACTAGACTTTTTACATAAAATGCTTTGTTTTAATTCTCACTATAAGACTGAAGGTCATATAATATTCCCATTCCACACATGAGAAAAACAGGGGCATAAGAGACTTAATGCAACCACTCTGGTTTTATGAAGCTACTAAGAGGTTTTGTGAGTTTCTTAAAGACCTTCTACAAAAATCTCTTGATATCTAAGCTTGTGTAACAAATGATTGTAGATGACTCATTTGACCATTTAATAATGACTGTGCATCCTCAAACGAGCAGGTTACTGCCCTCAGGCTCTCCCATCTAAGGCCGTTTTATTCCGTTATCATGCCAGAGAGAGGCAACATCTCATTTGCTGGTAAACTATGACTCGGGGAAGGAAGCAGGAACAGAAAAAGACTCAGAATGGAACCACTTACAGTTTGTGTAGATGGGTTCCCGAAACGGCTTTCCCTTAGAAAAAATGAACGCAGCTGAGATGCAGTTGAAGGTGACGATGGGCCACATGGTAGTGCTCTCAAAACTTAGAACGGAAGCAGGAATCAGAGTCGCGTTTCCGGTCCAGTTTCGCTCCAAACTCATATTGGTTGAGAAGTTACTTTGGTTGGTCAGAAAGCATTCACTATGAAAGAATTGTCAGCATTTATGAAATATTTCTATAACTTTTTAAAAATCAGTTAGTTGACAAAGTAATTTAATGATTACCAGGTGACTTCAGCTTTTTAACCTGCTCCTGCTGGTGGCTGACAGGACAAAGCTTGTTCACTTCTTACAATGACAAAGCAGAAATAAAATTCAAAAGAAATCAAGATCATCCTGTCTATCCTTCAGATAGAGCAGATAATCTGTCAACTATCCAAATAAATTGTTCTGTGGAGTTCCTGTCAAATCAAATAGTCAATGTGTGTATGTGTTTATGTTTGTGGATATGTATGTATAGGTATGTGTTGTGTATATTTGTGTGTGTGTGTGTGTGTGTGTGTGTGTGTGTGTGTGTGTGTGTGTGTGTGTGAGTGCAAACTCTCTTTCATTTATTGATGTAAGCCTCCTGACTTGCATCCTTAGGTGTGGTCCTAGTCCACACTCTCCTCAGTAGTTAAGGGATCACAGTAAAGACCCAGCATAGCCCTTCTGATTGTGAGGTATCTCCAGCTCTAGCAAACTGACAAGGTAAGCTCAGACTTCTCAGCCTGACTTAGAAGACTTGCATGTTCTGCCCCCAACCTAGCTTTCTGGTCTTATCTTTTGCAAGCTCCCTACCAAGACCCCTTATTGTCCTAACACAGTATCTGCTCTTCCTGAAATACTACACATTTTTTTTGAGTTGGATGTGCAGTTCCCATTAATTGCAGTATTACTTATTCTTCAACCCTCATTATATCTAACTCACTTTGTATGGGAATCAGTTCTAGTTCCTCTCCTCTGTTCTTCCTTCTTGCTGCATTTAGCTCAGTATTTTGAAATTATTTGGTTGAGATTTTTTAATTTTCATCCATGTATTATGAGTTGCTTTTGTGTTTTTTATTAGTTAATTTACAACATTTTTTGGCATCTAGCATAGTGAGATCATACAATATTTATTCAGCAAAATATGTCTTTCAGATCCAGGCTCTGTCAGCTCTGATTGACTTATTTGCAATGTTCTCCTTTATTACAATAATGAAACCCAAAAAATGGTTTTAATTTGCTTTCTTGTTTAGCTTGAAACTTTTAAATTACTTTTCAACTGCTTATAACTTATTTTCCAAATGTGAACTCAAATGCAACAAATGAAAGGAGACTTCTCCTCCTCCTCCTCCTCCTCCTCCTCCTTCTCCCCCCTTTCTATTCTCCTCCTTCTCCTCCGAAATAGTGGCTGGTTAGTTTGATGTCAACTTGACACAAGCTACAGTCATTTGGAAAGAGGGAACTTCAATTGGGAACATTCTTCTATCAAGTTGACCTGTAGACAAGCCTGTAGTATCTTGATTGGTGATGGTTGTGGGAGGGCCCAGCTCATTGTGGTAGTGCCATCCCTGGGAAGATGGTCCTGGGTGGTATAAAAAAGCAGGCTGAGCCAGCCATGAGGAGCCAGCCAGTAAGCAGAATCCCTCCATAGTTTCTGCTTCAGTTCCTGCCTCCAAGCTTTGCCAGATTCTGCCAGTTCCTGCCCTGACTTCTCTCAGCAATAGAGTGTGATCTTAAAGGTATAAGCAGAAAATAAGCCCTCTCCTTCCCAAGTTTCTTTTGGTCATAGTAGTATATCACAACAACAGAAACCCTAACAAAATGAGAAAATGTCTTGCTATATAGCCGAAGTTGGTGTTGACCTCATGATCTTCCTGCCTCAGACTTCTAAGTGCTGGGAATATAGGTAAGCATCACCATGCCCAGCCAGATTTAATTCTTAATATCTTGGGGTCTTAAGATCAATAAATGGGCTTTGTATATAGTAGATGTTCAGTTTGCTAAATACTGTTTGCAAAGAGCCAGCATTCTCGAGATGGGTGGGTTGATAGGCTGGATGCCCTGGATTTCAGAGCTTAACACAAAAAAAGTATATAATTCTGTCCAATTATGTTACAGATAAGGAAGGTGAGAGCTGGTGAGGTTGAAGTATAGAACCAGGGCCATCTTGATTTCCTGGCCATGCCTCTATGGTTCTACCCTGCTTCCTCCTATTTCCAACCACGGTCGTATTTCTCTGTGTGTATTTGCTCCAAATTGGGGGACCTTCTGGTTCTGAAACTACACAGGACTAAGTCACACTTGAACTGCTGACTTTGGAGTCTGAATGAAGACCTTAAACACCACTTGCTGGTTCCCCATTCGTGTTTCTGAGCTCTGGGGTTCCGATGCCATTAGGTTCATGGTACATGCTTGAGTTCAAAAGGAGAATAATATTTCTTCAGGAAAAAGAAAGCTTGAGTTTACATATTGCCTGTGGCTGTTCCTGTACTATAATAGCATCAACTAGTTGCAACAAGACCACCCTCCCCAGAAAGCCTGAGATGTTCTTCCCTGACTCTGTGCAGGGAGTGTTTACCAACCCTCGTTCTACATGAAATCCACACCCCAAGGAATGGATACATTCAGTCACCTAGCTGTTAGAGCATCTCATCAGCAACCATGGTGACAGACCTTTCCCTGCCCACTCCACATGCTCATCCAGCATGCTACCCATTAAACGCATTCTGTTCTATCATTTATGATTTGCAGTATGCAAGTATTATTTTAGAGTCTGTGTTGACACCGGGTTAGATAATGTCACTGTGCACTGCTTGTATCAATCTCAGGACAGAAACCGAAGGGAATGAACTCACCTGTACCGATAGACCTCACAGTACCAGGGCTGCTGCTTCACGGAGAGAAATGCAGACACCAGTACAATGCAGGTGAAACAGGAATTCAGGAAGACTGAGAGTAGCAGCTGAGGAGAGAGCAGTTGTCCTGCTGGTCTGTATGGAGCCAACTTCGGGTAGGCATGATTTATGCTCACTGAAAGACAGGTATACGTTTTTTCCTTTGCAATTTCGTTGTTGAGGATAAAAGATGAGATGCGTAACATCTTGAGTCTCTGGGTAAGATTCAGCTTGAGAAAACACCAGTCGAAGGTTTCCACCTACACCAGGCATTATGTCATCGCCTATCCATGCATTTCTATTAATCTTGATCTCCTCTGTGCTTTGGTTTTACTTTCAGACCTAAAGCGTAATGGGCTGAAAGGTCCTGTAATTGATGTATTTATCATACCGCACAGTGCCCATATTTTTTCTATGGACCCAGCAGGGATGATACATAAAACAAAATGAGCAGTACCAACATCTCTCATGAAGGAGGCAGGTGGATAGTTGGAATGAGGGATTAAGTAGTCACCCATCTTCACTCATCTCTGTATGGTAATTAAAAGAAAGCATTCACTCTGCTGTTGAACCAATAGTATCCAAGCACTTCAATGTGCCAGGCACTGTGATAGATCTTAAGTTGTGCTTGGTTCTTTTCTGGATACACAGGTCAGGGGGAATTGCTATTGCACATTCCATTTGGTCTGGTAGAGGAGGTGGGCTCATAAAAAATTTGTTTTCAGATAATGATTTCAAAGTATATTGCATTTTCAACTCTGGGGTTTGTCATTTAAAGTGATTAGAAATGCAAAAAAAAACAAGTTTTTTTTTGTTTTTTTTTTTTTTTTTTTTAAATATGACTACATCCTTTGTAGATGCTTCATGCTCTAACAAACCAATGAGCATGGCATGTGCTCTGCCTTTCAGGACAGAGCAGGAAAGAGGCATGGAGAGCTAACAATTGAGAACATCTCATTTAAAGGTTTACATAATTCATGTTTTAATCCTCCTTGCCTTCCAATTACTCATCTCATCCCCTTTCTCAGCTTGTTTCTTTCTAATTTTAAGAAATTACAGCACATGTACGTCAGCTTATGGTCATGCATGTAGAGGTGGGGTGGGAGGGAGTTGATGTAAACTTTGGGATAATAAAACTCTCAAGTAGATTCTGTTCACTATATGATCTGGGATAGCAATGCAAACTCTCTGGTACTTCACTTTTTTAAGTAAAGTAGGAGTATGACATAATGTTTAAGTGCTTCTCAAAGGCCCTTCCAACTAATTTATTCTAAAGCTCTATGACTACTTGAGGCATGACTGTTACATTTCAATGTGTTTTCCCAGCAGAATGTCAGAGGTTGTGGCATATGCAGGGTCACTTACTCTGCCTTCCAAGTTTTAAGTCCAGTGGATACACAGAGGCCGGTATTTTTATTACCAAAGAATATGATGGGCACAAAGATACTAATTTAGAGTACAGTTTGATCCTATATCCATTTAGCAAAATACTGGTAGTAAGTTTATCCTGAGGCCTGTGAGTTCCTCAACCATGAGTTCTTAGCCATATTTATAATATCAGGCACACTATATTTCTTCCTATGGATAGGTCCTTAGTTACAAGCAGAAAGTGGATGGTTACCTCTAAAACATTTGTGCCCCTACTGCACTCATGGAGGAATCTTGCAGTACCAGTCATTATTGTAGTTCACAATGTTCACAGCTGACTAAGATCTGCTGATGGCTTTTCTCTCAGCATCCTACATGGCACTTTCCAGCACTAGGAAAGCTATCTAGCAGGGAGGAAGCTTCTTTGTCTGTATCAGTTTGACTTTCCTATGTCCTATGACCAAAATGTGTTATGTCTTCAGCAACAGGGTCTTACCATGAAGTTGTGGTGGGAAACCAGAGCAATGTCAGTAGCTTATATTGTTTTGGGGGGTGTCTCTTGGGTACTCATGATGAACAAGTTGAGAAGTATTCCATTCCCAACACTGTCCTTTTGATTTGGCAACCTATGACTTCTAGGAATACTATCTCTTATGTAAGGTAACTCTAATACTTCTATACAAATATGTAAATATATATTTTATAAATATATATGAAGCTTATAAAATAGTGGGTTTGCATATGACCTTTTAAAACATCGTTGGTGCTAATTATCCCTTCTCCTACCCCTAACCTCTCTCCTAACCTCCCATCCAACCTACACCTTCCCTTTTCGCCAGTTCTCATCAGAGAAATTTGTGCAGTGGATGGAGGTTAGCACAGAAACTCACGACTGATCAAAGTGCAGAGAATAAGTGGCAAGTTCAACCACAAATGGGACATCTATCTTCTGCCACCCACAGGGTTCAGGGACTATCACCGAAGAGGGTGGTTGAAAGATCCTAAGAACCAGATGTCTGGGAGGACCAGAATGAAGCAATGTCATTTGGACATGACAGGACCACTGCATCCATGAATTTATAGCAGCTCTGCTATATAAATAGTATATAATGACATAAAATCAAGCAAGACAATATCATAGCATGGAGAGAGAGAGAGAAGCCAGGAGCCCACATCCCTAGTCATGAAGTTACTGACAGTTTGCTATGGCTTCTGATGAAGAGTCAGTTCTCTTTAAGGGCCCATGGCAGGTTGGCCATGCTCCAGCTGGTGGCCCCACACCCATGAGTATGTGGACAGCACAAACTGGACATGATGGTTTCTTTTTAAAGAGGATATGAGCTTAGGAGGTGGAGGATGGGGCTGGAAGGGGTCGGGTAGGGAGGAAATGTAATAAAAACACATTGTTTGAGACTGTCAAAGAATGAATTCAAAAGGTTGTTTTAAAAAAGAATACGATAGGCTTTTGTCCCTAGTTTCTAAGATACATCCTCTGAGTCCTTGGCAGTTGCTAGGTGAGAGGAACATCTTTCTTTTTCACAATGGGCCCTGACAGTTTATGCTAAGATTACTGATGCTAGGGTCTGGGGAGATAGCTCAGTAGTTAAAGAATGCTTGTTCTTTTTGCAGAGGACCTGGGTTCAGTTCCCAGAGTGGTTCTCAACTGTCTGTAACTCCATTTTCCAGGGGGTCTGCTTCTCTTCAGGACTCTGTGGGTTCTAGGTACATATGTGGTGTATATATACACTCAAACAGACAAACACTCATACACACACACAATAAGTCTGAAAGTAGCTTTTAAAAGATGAGTGTGGTTTTGAAGAGAATTGGTGCTAATGATGTCATGCAGGAGTGCAGCTGGCCACAACCTTATAGACCACCAGGAAAACTGGAGCTTCAGGTTATATATCTGCCTGACCTAGAAGTATGGGGGGGGGGGTAGCAAAACTGACCACAACCCTATAGACCACCAGGAAAACTGGGCCTTCAGCCTATATATCTGCCTGTTGTGGAAGAGGGGAAGAGCTAGAGATTGAGTTCAGCCTCATGGCAAGTGATTCAATCAGTTGTGTTTAGATAATGAAACCTTAATACAAACCCTGGACCTGGAAACTTAGTTGAACTCTGGTTGGCAGTATTCTGTACATTATCACACACATGTGTGTGCCAGAAGGGTAAAGCATCCTGATTCCACAATGGAAGGACAGCAGAAGTAACCTATAGGATCCTTCCAAGAGTTTGTCCCACATGTCTCTCCCCTTGACTAGTTCTAACTTGTATCATTTTTCTATAAATAAAACCATGATAATAAATACTACACTCGTGTGGGTTCTGTGAATCAGTGAATTGTTGAATACAGGATGGAGGGTACTGGAACCTCTAACTGGTAGATAGCTAGTCAAAACACAGTTGGTTTAGGAATACCAAAAGTGGTCCCTGGTGTCTGAAGTAAAGCCATTCTTGTGGCTGTGTCCTCAACCTGTGATATTTGGTCTACCTGTGTAGTTGGTGTCAGAAGTCACTATTGGAGTGCACTAAGAAGTGGACTGTGGTCATACAATGTGGATGGTCATACAAGTGCATATACAATGTGGAAGGTGGTCAGTGCTGAAGAACTGCAGGGAACTTGCATCTAAGTCACAGGAGGCAGAGGCTGTAGAGTTTAGAATGCCTTCTACATGTCATCATCCAAGATGCAGCTATGAAGTTCATGAGGAGGCTGTGGGCACTCGGCACAGGTACCATCACAGCTCTGGGAGATGTCACCCTACCCCACTGATACACTCTCCCACACATGCTCATTACGGTTCTTGCCCCTCTTCAACACAAGAACCACGGGAGATTGGGGAATTGGTTTGACAGAGATGGCATTTATTTGTGGCTTACTGGCATGATTATGATCATGGCGATGTTAGCAATAGTTTCAAACAATCTTGCATGGCTCACCATGTCAGACTCTGCTGAGTATACCATCTGGCCCTTCACTGTGGCCCTAGAATGAGGAAGTTGGAGTTGACCTGAGCTCAACTTGATGGAAATAAACTATTTACAGTATAAAGCATAGTGGCGCAGCTGAGAAATCTAGATCTGCTGGATGACAGTCAACAACTAGACCCATACTCTGGGAGAGTAATTGCTTGGTGACATAAGCCACTGAATTTGGGGTGAGTTGTGATGCAGTGATATTGTGGAACCAGCTGGCTGATATTTTTATACTGGGTATTTTAACTTTTTCTATATCAGAGACTCCTAATATTTCTAACAAGAAATCTATATTGTTGGTTATTAGAAGAAAATGATTACTGGTTTGGGACATCCATTAAACTCTATAGCTGGTGCTGAGTAGTTTTATAAGTACTATCTTTCTTTCCTTAAAAACCAATGAAAAACAGGTAAGTTTTGCAGATGAATAAACACGTTGGACTAGACTCCCTTTCTTAAGGACACGGTGAATAGCACAGCAATGATATGTACAAAGGCGGGTCTGATCCTAAAGCCTGTGGTCTCTGTCTGCAGCTTTTGCAATAGGATGGATTTCCTAAGTTTAAAAGGACACAGTGGGACTCCTGAACCAGCTTGGAGAGCAGTATTGTTTATAACCAGGCAGGAAAATTCCAATTACCCAGATTTTCTTAAAATGAAGATGACGACATTTGTTATTAGATTGCATCCAGAAGAATACCAACTTATGAGATGCTATATTTTACCTAAAATTAATCACCCCTTTTCTCAGTTCTCACAGTGTATCATTTATGTTGATGGCCTCCTGCAGGATGTCGTACATTAAACCATATTGTTCACACATGCAACCCTGCAGACTGTGAACTCTGAGAAAGAAACCCTGCCTTGTTCCACTTTTTATCTCTCACTAAACCTCACACTGGGCCTGCTACAGGGAGTAATTGCCATTTCGAATTATAGTCTTTAATTGTTTAAAATAATTTGATGCATTTATATTAGAAATTATAAATCATGGGAGCCAAATTTCAAGGTGACCATAAATTCACCAAATCTATAAGCAAAGCTCTGAGTGTGCCTCATGAGGTTCTCTGGATGCACATCCTCCGTGAGAGTCTCCAAGGGTCACAGGCAGAAAAGGTTACTGCCATTTGGTGAGGTTTATGTAAAAGATGCATGTGTGTAATAGAGGGATGCCTGCTCACACCTAATTGTCTCCAAGTGGCCTCCTCCTATCTACTGAAATATTTAGTCTTAATGGAGCTGGCTGGACTGTCTTAAAGCCATGTTACATCAATATGTTTTCTATTTAAAAGACTTGCTGAAGGACCAGTGGAAGTTTGGTATCATTAGCTATGGGAAGACAAGCGAACAGACATAAATGATGGTACTTCAGCTGTAGCATCGCCTCTTGGGACATTTGCTGCAGGTGAGTAGAGGCCAACAGTTTAAAAGTGTAAGAGCTGGACTCAAGAAGAGAGAGGGGCTGGCTGCTTGAGAACAAAGAGATCTCATGTTTGACCCTTCAGTGTGCAAGAAATATATTTTTGATCACCTCCTTCCTGTATTTTCGTGATGTAGTCTGAATGGATCTTGTTGAAGATGGCAAACGTGTTGCTAGTACAAACTCCCACCCAGATTAGGGTCAAGTTGGACTTCACAGTGTGCATTTTCTTAACTGACTTTCCTCCTGGTATCATTTTTTTTTTTCATATATCATGTCTTGTATTATTAGCTGCATGTGTCCCAATCTCTGTGATCTTTGGCAAGTTATTTAAGAAACAGTAATTTCCTTGAGTGAAATGGCATTGGCAGGTTCTGCACTTCAGCTAAAATGATGCTTATGGAGGGCCCATCACAGTACAGGGAACAGCAGACTCACAATACGCTGAATGATCTCACTATGAACCCTTCGCTTCCATCTTTTGGGAAGATTCGCCATCTTGGTGAGCACTTGAGAAGAATCAAAATGTGTTCAACAAGGTTGGTTTCTTCAGAAACTCAAAACCACGGACAACAGTTCTAAACTTGCTTCAGAATTAGGTGGAATTATTCTGGGCTTTCCCACACTCGCCTGCATGGTATTAGTTGTGGAGCTGACTGACACAGAGGTGGGGCTACCACACCCCTTTCTGTGGCACAACCCTGCTGACTCTTTCTCTGTTGTTTGCCCTGTGGAACTCAGTGTCTCCTCCAAGCACTGGCTCAGCTGGAGACGGAGATGACTCTATCCAGGGCCATAGCTACCTCTAGAAGAGTTTCTCAGAAGGGTGACAGGTCAGAAGCTGTCCTATTAGGACAGTAGCACTTTATCCAACAATCGACAGTCAGGCAGCACATTCAATCAGAGGGCTGAACTCTGGGAAGCCCGGGATGGTGAGGCTAAAAGTGAGAAGGATCTACTTTTGTTTGTTCATCCCCCATTTGCTTTCAGATGTTGTTTTCCCATCCCCATAAGTTTAGTCATAGCCCAGGTAGATCATTTCCTGGTCAGTGTCAGCTGTTGAAATGATCTCACCTCTCCACGTGAGAGACTCAGTGGCTTGGCACTAGCAGTGGGAGAGAAGGAATTGGCTGCCTCTGTGGTTCCCTGGTGTAATCACCTGCTTTTCGCCTGCTTCAGAGAGTGGGGCAACCAGGGGAAAGCTCTTATTTAATCCCAGATGTTGTTTCCTTCCTGGCAGATGCTCTCAAATCAGCAGCTATGGAAACTTAGGCTGTCCGAACAAGGCTCATTGGTGGGTTCTATACTGCTTCCCTGTGGACTGGTGTGAATGGTAACCACACCTGAGCTGGTGTGAATGGTAATCACACCTGGGCTAGAATGGTAATCGTACTTGGGCTGGTGTGAATGGTAATCACACTTGGGCTGGTGTGAATGGTAATCACACTTGGGCTGGTGTGAATGGTAATCACACTTGAACTAGTTTGAATAGTAATCACACCTAGCCTAGTGTGAATGGTAATCACATCTGTGCTGGTGTGAATGGTAATCACATCTGGACTACTGTGAATGGTAATCTCTCCTCCTGACTCCTCAGGAATGTTTCCTTCAAATATCTCCTGGAGTAGATACCATAAAGACCTCTGTAGCCTGCCCTCATTGGGCAGCTTCTTGCTATGATAGTTCCTGCCTGAATAAGTTCCATGGCTTCTACTTTACCTACAAAACGACTGATATATGGCTTCCCTTCATGTCTCTCCTCTCTCTCATCTTTATTATTATGAAGAAGTGAGCAAAAACACAATGTCCCCTCAAAATCATCCAGGCTTTCCTAGAATACTTCCTATGACTCTCTTTTTTATTAAGTGGGGCACTCCTGAGAGGAAAACAAGACTTCATAGACCTTTCAGTTCTCCTTAAAGCACCCTTCATAACCACTGCTACAGTTTTTCATGGAATCAATATGCAGCTAATGGGTAAAGAGGGGGATGTGTTCACAGTGGAAGGACCAGTAAGGATCTCTTGAAAGGATACTGTGGAGATGTCGCCATCATCTTTCTTCATGCTCAATTGGCACTGTCACTCACTGTTCTCAAGTATTCAGGTCAGCAAACCTCCACCCAACAGGAAAACATCATTCAGCAGCCACTCACACCAGCATCCCTTTCTTACTCTGTGTTAGACACATACAGACACCTGGGGCATACATGGGCTGATGGCTTGGGTTTAGAAGGGGGAGATTATAAAATTTCTTGGGACTGGAGATGTCTCAGTGGATAAGAGTGGGTATTGCTTTTATAGTCCTTGGGTACTGTGTTCACATACACAGCACCTCCACAACACATACACATAATTTATTTTTTGTTTGTTTTTGCTTTTGTGGGTTTCTTTTTGAGACAGAGTTTCTCTGTGTAGCCCTGGCTGTCTTGGAACTTGCTCTGTAGACCAGGCTGGCCTCAAACTCAGAGATCTGCCTACCTCTGCCTCTAGAGTGCTGGGATTAAAGGCATGTGCCACCACCACCTGGCATAATTGAATTTTTTAAAGGAGTCTTTTACTAAAAGAAGGACATTTCCATTGGAAGGAGTAGCACTCATAAGAGACAGTAGATAAATATGGGATGCAAAGTTTTTAGTTTGAGAGCAATGTAGAATAAGGGAGAGGAAGCGGCAGAAGATATAACCTGAAAGCCCAGTTAGGCCAGATCAGAAGTGGGGTCTTGACTGCCAGGCTGAGAACTGTGGATGTTCATCTGCTTCCTTTAAAGTTGAGGACCATTGGACGTGACCTCCATAAAATGACCCTCATCAAGGCTCCTTATGTTTCCTAGTCCCAGTGTAAAGTTTATACTTGGAAAAGCCATTATTGTCACAGTTTTGTTATTTACATTTGTTATTTATATCTGTACATGCCATGTCTTGTTCCCAGGAGATATTTGCCATGGCCCTCGGCCCCTAGCACTGCCTCCTAGTACAGACTCTGGAATCTCCCGGGGTTCCTTCCCTTTCCAGCATCCTTCATAAATAAATCATTCAAATTGCTTAAAAATACCCGGCATCATACAATCACTATCACTGATTCAAAATTATTCAGTTAGATGAATACTAATAACATGTAGTAGAAAATATAAAATAGGCTTGGAATAGACACTTCAACCTAATAATCAAAATTGATATTACTTATATCATAGAGACTGGTAAATTTTATCACTGGGTAGATATAATAGATGGCTTCAATATCAGTTTTGTACTTTAAGATGCGGCACAAAATTGTCAAGGTTATTAATATCCTGAGACGCCTGATATTTTTCTGTTGTTTTTTCATAACACCTCACTGTTGAACAAAGAGAAAGTGACATTGCCATTCTTCTTCATGCTCTCTGTTGAGACAGTCACCTTTCTCGCTTATTAAGAGTTAGCATCAAGCCCTAGGTTCCTTGATCAAAAGTACTTTATCAGTGTCATCTCTAAAGAAGGAAGTGAGCAATAGCCAACGTGAGCCACACCTCGCTTCCGAGAGAACTGCACTAGAATAAAACATCAGCATTTTTTCTCACAAGTCAAGGACCTAGCAAAAAGCTAGTTTTCTATCAATGTAAAACAGAGTTGAATAATGGAAAGTGACCTTTGGGTCTAAAAAAAATCCTTTCTTGATTTCATACCCATTTTTCTATGGACAGGACACAAAATTATAAAGAACTAAGAATACGTTGACAAGTTCTTAAGGCAAAGACCTATTAATCATCAGGGTATTTTACTGCAGCTCTGGAGACCCCAAGTGTCCACTCACTCCTCATGGTACTTTAAATAAATTCTCAGACAATGAAGTTTTACTCATTATGTTCTCATTTTCTTATGATGTTCTCATTTGTATGTTTCGGGGACTTCACAAACAGACTTACATACATACCAACTTACTTGTTAAGCTGACCATCAGTGTGATGGCCACATCTTGCAAGAGATACTGGTAATTGCCAAAGATCTGTAGTTGCTGGAAAAAGAAAGAGCCAGTGTAAGTACCATGCCTGTTTTTGTAGCGTTTCTCACTCACAGTACTCTTTTTAAAGCAAAGTATGGACTGAAAACCATCAGTATCTCATTAGAATAAATGACCCCAGTAACTATTTTCTCAGTATTTAACTCATTTCTTTATCACCAGAGGCATAATCAGAACCCAGCCAGCCTCCTACTAGGCACGTTAGCCCTGGCAGGCATCATCGCACCCCTTACAGCTGAATTCTCAGCACAAGATGTAAAAGTCTGAAAGTTTCTAATGGGATTTTAAACAAAATTTAAAGTCAAGGCCCCAATTCATTTAACCGGTGTGGGTCTCCACTCTTGAGTATGGATTGAGTGACAACATAATGAAGTTGAAGTTCACTCACTGAACAAGGCTTTTCCCTACTAAAGCAGTGGTTCTCAACTATCCTAATTCTGCGACCCTTTGATAGAGTTCCTCATGTTGTGATGACCCCAACCATAAAACTACTTCGTTGCTACTTCATAACCATAATTTTGCTACTGTTAGGCATCATAATGTAAATATCTGTGTTTTCCAATGGTCTTGGGTGAGCCCTGTGAAATGGTGTCTTGACTCACAGAGAGGTCTCAACCTACAGGTTGAGAACCACTGCCCTAAGTAAACACACTGCAGACTCTAGTCTGCTGTCTCTCCTTCCTGAGGTCTGAGTACACACAGAATTTAGCTTTTCAGTTCACAATTTTGGAGCTGAACTCGTAAGGCCAAAAAGTCAAACCATTATTCTTAAGGAACGTCCTTGCTGGACCTTGAGCAGCCAGACCTGTGGACCTGCTTCGTAGCTAGTGACCGAATTCTACACTGTAATCTGACTCTGATGTGTTGCCAATGTCTGCATGTGAACGTACACTGGCCTTTCTAAAGGCTCTGTACTAGCTTCCAGGTTGAGGTACTCAGAGGACACACCCATCAGGCTCCAAGCAGCAGTGGACAACTGCTGAGTGGACTGATTTCAACTCTAACACAGGCACTACAGCTCTGTGCCCAGTTTTATGAAAACGTAGGAGCATTGTGCTTCCTGATCCCCAACTGTTCTTTATCTACCCTCCACTCTGAGTGTGTATGCGTGTGTGCGTACATGCGTGCGTGTGTGTGTGTGTGTGTGTGTGTGTGTGTGTGTGTGTGTATTGAACACATTCTGTGTGCACTTGCATGTGAAGGGGTATGTGTCTCATGTGGAGTTTGGAGATCAGGATCAGGTGTCTCCTCTATGGCTCTCCACCTTATTTTTTTTTATTTTTCGTTTTTAAGATGGTCACTCACTGGACCTGGAGCTCACCAGTTGGCTAAACTGCCTGGCTATCGAGTACCCAGGATCTTCCTGGGCCTGCCTTTCCTCACTGGAAGTATAAGATATATGTTACCAAGCCTAGCTTTTTTTAATGTGGGTGCTGGGGATCTGAACCCAGCCAGCACTCTGCTGACTGACTTATCTCCCTGCCCCCTGGTTACTTCCTCTTACCCTTGTCCCTGTGAGTGCGAAAATTACATAGGAACAGAAACACAAGGAAAACTGTCCATCAGCAGCCTCGGAGTTTTCAATAAGAACAGCTATCCTAGAACTGCGGAGACCTTGAAAATAGGTCACTAGCTTTTCAGAGGTGGGAGCTGGCCAAGGGCAAAACAAAAGCTTTGCAGTTTGGATGGAGGGAAGGTATGAGCGGGGCTTCCTGACCCCTCCCCACCTGCTGGCCATTTAGCCTCCCACGTGTGTCCTTGCCAGCAGTAGCCAACAAGATACCCTAGTCCCTGGTCTCCTCATTCACCTCTTAAATATCCTCCCGAAGCAATAAAACAGGTGAATTCCCTAAATGTCCTTTGAGTCTGTTGGGTCATTGTCTTGTAGAGCAAACTATGCTTGAAATAATGAAGATTATTTTTGAATCTATATACAGCTCCTCTATGCAGCTAACTTCTAAATAGTTATCACCATTTGTTTTTTAGAGTCCTTTGTAGTTTTAAGGAATGACCAATCTTTCACTGATGATGCATCTAACACTATTAAATTCTGAGTAGGTTCAGGAGCACAACCCCACTGTGGGAGATTTTCCAGCATTCCCATCCTTCAAAATCAAATTCAAAACCTTCTCTTCCTTTTCATCTCTTTTGAGTCTTTAACCAAAAATATTCCACAGTTGGAGGCAGATCCATTTCCTGCCAAGTTATATTTAGGCTGCTCTCAAACTCTGTTTATACCCCAAGGAGGAGACAGGGGATTGTGGAGGTCAAGAGTCTTCGGTTATCCTGAGAAAACCAATGCTCCAGACAACAGATCCAGAGCTACTCACTTCTAGCCTCAGGTTGCATGAAGCATACCGGTTCTCAAGTTTGTAGGCCACTGTTTCTGAGAAATTCCATGTATTTATAAACATTAAATAGGGTGTAGGATCCGCATCCCAAAGCTATAAATACAATTAGAACTGAGAAGAAATGATTTTAATTCATACCCAATAGAGAAGTGATGTTCCAATAAACTGGATGATGCCATACATGGTCAAGTACTTAAATACACCAAAAGATGAAACCAGCGCTGCTCGGCCCTCCCTATTCAGAACAAACAAACACAAAATCTGCTTATATAGGCCACACAGCTCCCAGTCTTTATATTTCAAAGGGAGTTCATTTAAATTTTTTTTCATTCTTTGACGATTTCACATATGTATATAATGTATATAATACATCTGGTAACTCATTGCTCTACCTTTCCATATCCCCTTCCCACCCTTGCTAGGACCCTTACCCCTTGCACAAAGTCCCCCTCCTACTTTTGTGTCTTCTGGTTATGATTTTTGTTTCTGCTTCGCTTTAAGCCATTCTATTATAGGTTTAACCAGAGGCACACATATGAGCATGAGAATGAAGCTAACCACTGAAGCATGAGTAACTCATCACTGATTACATCTCTGAAGACAGCCCTTGACTGGCATTAGAGCCTCATGAAGGTTGCCCAGGAGAGTTCATAACTAAATGTTTACTAGTTAGGTCTTTTGCATGCCCTATGCAGGTAACTGCAGCTGGTACAGCCATCTCTCACTCATCACATAGACATATTGTTGATCTCTTGCATTCTTTCTGCCCCCTCTTCCGTGATGTGAGTGAGCCATTAGAGGAGGTAATATGGGTGACCCACTTAAGGCTGAGCAAGGAGTTCATATTTAATAGCCTGTGGATATATACCCACTTAGCCATATATTCATTCTTTCAGCTTTTTTATTTTATGTTTACGGTGCTGGAAATCAAATCCAGGTCCTTCCACATGGCAGGCAAGCTCCTTCCACATGGCAGGCAAGCACTCTACCACTGAGCTATATCCTCAGGAAATTATTTTAATCTTTTCTTTTTTTGTATGTTTTATTGAATTTTTACTTGTACTATGTGTGTGTGTGTGTGTGTGTGTGTGTGTGTGTTACATGCATGTTAATATACAGGTATATACACACATATACATGCATGTGGAGGCCAGAATAGAATGTCACATGTCTTCTGTCACTCTTCACCCAGTGGCTTGAGACAGGGTCTCTCACTGAGTTGGAAGTTTGCTGTTTGGCTAAGTGGCTAGCTGGGGAGCTATTAGGGTCCAAGCTTTTTATGTCAGTGCTTGGGATTTGAATTCGGGTCCTTAAGCTTGCATACCACACATTCTGACCCCTGAGCAATATCTCTGAGCCCCTCGTTTTATTCATTGAACTCCTGATGTTTTTGCCTCCACCTCCTGGATTCTAGGATTACTGGCATCCACTGGTTTATGCAGTGCTTGCGAATCAAACCCAGCATCTTATCCATGACAGGCAAGCATTAACTAGTTAACTGTATCCCATGACCTATTTAAACCTTCATTCATTTCTTCCTTCTCTTACTCAATCCTTAATTCCCCCTTGAATTCTTGACCCACCTTTACTTAGGTCTTATGAAGTACCAATATTACACCAAAAGTCATTATAAAAGGATATGCAATGAGTCAGGCTCTGCCCATTCTGTGAAGTAAGAATATTATTGTGTATATTCTAAGCATAATGCAGCATCATGATAATCTGCCAGGTCAAGCATTGACTTGATCCTAATTTCTTTTATTTCAACATGTGCCTCCTGAAATTGAGTGGTTTTAGCGGCTCTCAGACACATGAAGCTAAAAGATTAGTACTCATGAAATATGGAAGCAACTCTTAACATTTGAGTTCTAATGTTTTTGCCATATGTGATATTCCTAGAAGTAACCAAGGTAATATTCTGAACTGGAGAAGAGATCAAAAGATCAAGACCACTGTAGAAACTCTGACTTGGAAATTGCATACTCATCCTTTGTGGGGAAATGTCCTTTAGCTGAGGTTTGTTGGATGGTAGTGGATCAGAGGACAGTGTGAGAACATAGCATGATAGTTCTACAGCTTCCTCTTGCCAGGGCAGACATGAGCCCACATGGGTTTAGCTTTGTTTCTAGTCCCTAGTGACATGAGCACCTGCTCAGCTCAAAGATGTTATAACTCTACAGAAACATAAACTGGCAAACCTGGAAGCCAAACTACTAACTACTTGCCTCAGGCAAGATGAGTGTTAGGTTGGGAGATGGGCCAGGGTACTTCAGGCAGATGTTTCCCACCAGGCTGTGAACAGCTAGCGTTTGTTTTCAACAAAGGATGGAGGAGAAAGCAGGCTGAGAAAAGAATGCAAAGCCAGGATTGTTTTCCCAAGCCTGACATAAACATTATGATTTCATCTTTTTTCCCCCTGCAGTTGTATATAATTTCAAGAAAATTAAGACAGCCAGATTCAAACAAAGTACGAATCATGGTTCTGAGGGCAGGATAAAAGCTGTCTTCATGAGCTTCCAGGATTGCTGCTACTCTTAATGATTATGAATTTTAGTAGCTCATATATCTATCTGTACATCCTGCAGCCATCCATCTAATGTTCTGCTATACTGAGCTTAGAGTTAGATGCAATGCTTGATTCAGAATTGAAAACAGATAGCAGCTTTTCCCTCAAGGACTTGAACTATAACAACCCGTGGCTTACACTCTAAAGAACGACAAGAGGCCTGTGGACCTAGATCTACTCATGTATGACTTATACCTCATCGCCCTCTGGAATTCTTTCTCAGGAATAAACAGGTGTGGAGAATACCAAAGGATAAAACGAGCCTAAAAGAGCCGAACACTGAACCGTATCTAATTTTCTGAGGCTATGGAATGTAGAGGAAAAGAAAGTCTACCCTGAAGTATTAACAAAAAGCCATCTGCCCCTAACAAATTTTATATCATTACTTGTATTCTAAACCAACATACTTCATTCTAAATACATTCTAGATACACAATACATTGGGTCACAATCATGCTTTGGGAGTACAGGGGGTGGTGGTCCTCAAGGGTACAGAAGAACACAGGTGTAGATAACCAGGGACGAAGGACATGTGACCCAGCTGCTTGGCTGATGTGCAGGAAGGACAGGGTATTTCAGGCTTGATGACCTCCTATCAGTCACCTTGTTCTCTCAGGCACCAAGAAACATGGTGGTGAACCTTTCAGTGTAAGCTGAGTGACGACTTCCAGCACACTGGCCATGGAGATGCCCCCGTTACCCCCAGGTATTAGAGGAACAGCAGGGAAAAGATACATGAACAAAATATAAAACAGGATGCTTTCTTCTTCATGACACTTAAAATGTAGGTAGAAATGAGATCAGAAATGGGTGCAGTAAAGGAAAGCAAATACATGTTCCCCCCTTCCCCTTCTCCAACATCATCCTGGATGCTTTTGGATTTTTATTTTAGAGTTATACAATAGTATTGTGGAAAGCTATCTAATAATGTATTTTCATCTACCCCCAACTCCTGGTAAAACATCAGAGAAGGCTTGCAGGATAGGAAAGTAAAAGAAAGAGAAGACACGCAATCACGTTTTAAATGCCAAAGTGAGCTTTTAGAATCTACCTGACGCACCCATCTATTTCTTAAAACTCATTGAAAGTCAACTTTTTGTGGCTCTGTCGGTGTTTTCAAGCAACAGGTATCATTCTGTGATTAATGGTCAGCAGTACTAGACCCACACCTGCTCTGGCCTTATGACTTGAAGCTAGTGTCCAATTCTATTTCCACAGTCAGACAATGAGCCACGGTGATGAGGTAGAGAAGGAGATGCAGCTTACCTGATGAGATGAGGCACACACTCGATATTGGCTGTTTTCGAGGTGAAGGGAGATGCCACGGATGCTTCCTGTTCTGATAGCGAGATGCCTGCATGAGCCATTTTCAAAGCCTGGAATGATCCATCCAAGTCAAACCATGACTCCTCAGATCAGACTCTTACTACTCAAATACCAAAGCTATTTGTCAAATGTCAGTCCAACACCATGTGTGTGGTAGTTCGAATGTCATTGGCCCCCATAATCTCAGGGAGTAGTACTATTAGGAGGTGTGGCTTTGTTGGCGTGAGTATGCCTTGCTGGAGGAAGTGTGTCACTGTGGGGGCTTTAAGGTTTCCTATGCTCAGGATACCACCCAGTGTCTCAGTCGATTTCCTGTTGCCTACAAGATGTAGGACTCTCAGCTATTCCTCCAGCTGAGTCCCGTCTACATGCCACCATGCTCCCCGCCATGATGATAATGGACTGAGCCTCTGAAACTGTAAGCAAGCTACCCCAATTAAATGTTCTCCTCTATAAAAGTTGCCATGATCATGGTGTCTCTTCACAGCAATTAAAAACTCTAACTAAGGAACTGTGCCTGTCCATAGTCACATCTCTGTTCATGCTATCCCTTCATCTATATACCCTGTCTCCCCTGGCCCATAAAGTCACCACGAAAGAGAAACTGACTATGCCACGATCCATAGTAGGAGAGAGAGAGAGAGAGAGAGAGAGAGAGAGAGAGAGAGAGAGAGAGAGTCTGTGTGTATGTGTGTGTGTGTTTCTGTGTGTGTGTGTGCTTCCACACGTGTACACATAATGTACCATCTGTGTGGCATGCATACAGAATCAGGAAATGGAAGCACTCATTCAAAGTCTATAAAAGGATGACAGAAGGGTTGGAGAGATGATGTCACAGTGGGTCCCAACCTTCCTAATGCTGTGACCCTTTAATACAGTTCCTCATGTAGTGCTGACCCCAACCATAAAATTGTTTTTGTTGCCACTTCATAATTGTAATTTTCTACTATTATGAGTCATAATGTAAATATCTTATATGCAGGATATCTGATATGGACTCTTGTGTGTGATAAGGTTGTTCGTCGCAAAATGCATTGAGACCCACAGGTTGAGAAACAACCTGACTTAGTAGCTAACAGCCCATACTACTCTTTCAGGGAACCCAAGTCTAGTTCCTCCCACATTGGAAGGCTCACAGTTATCTGTAGTTCTGTCTCTATGGTATCTGGACCTTGCAGGTACTTTCTCTCTCTCTCTCTCTCTCTCTCTCTCTCTCTCTCTCTCACACACACACACACACACACACACACACTTGCACATACTGAAAAACAAAATAAATCGTTTTAAAAGGATGACAGAATTTGGATGGCCATTGGGGACTTCCAATATCTCAGTTCTTATTCTTAGCAGGTCCATCTTAATGGAAAAACAGGGAAGGGGAAAGATATCTAACACCAACTTTCTCAGCTGATTGATCCAGCCAATTGGCTAACTGCTGGTAAAGAGTGTAGAGCGGGTAGCATCACCACTAGATGCCCAAATCAGGCCACATATGCCCACATGCACATGGTGGTGGTACATGTGTTGCTTCACAGATATGAGGGCTCTTTCTTCTCATATGAAGCCTAAAAGCTGTCCAGCGAACACACAGCAGAATAGCCCACAGACAAGCCACAGAAAGCCTATAACCTCTCAGGAATCGTATGCCTGTGAAATGAGATTTTGTATTCAGGTTGCTCTACAGTGCTTGGTTGCATGGTTTGGTATGCAGTAGATTCCAGCCAGCTCTATAAATCTTAGAACATCGCCACACTCCTCTTTTCTCCCTTAGTGTTTTCTACCTCTATTATGCAATTTAAGATCATCTGCCATATGTCAGGGTTAATTTTATGCATGATTTCTCCATCAGATGATTGCCTTTTGGGCGAACAGAGACTGTCCTTTTGATATTTTTGTTTTGCTGTAAATGTCACATACTTAATAGCAGTAAGTATTCACCCTAGGTTGAATGAGTGGACTAACAACTGTATTCTCATGAAACACAGGTGGAAATTTTTATCCTAAGTCTTTAAGTATGAACACACTTTTTTTTTTCACAAACACTGGAGAAAATATTTAAGAGGAGAGTAAAATGAATGGCCAGATCTTAAATATCCAATAAGCTTTTAGATACATACAGATATAAAGAGTATAAAGCAGTTTCCTTTTTCCTCTGTCCCTCTCCCTCTTCCCTCTCCTCCTCTTCTCTCTCCTCTTCTGTTTTGCGCTATTTTGATGGGTTCAGCATCACACACGCTAGGCAAGCGCTCTCCTATTCTACTGTAACCTCAGCCCTGTTCTTCAATTCCTGTTCCGCACTTACCTATTAAAGTACATATATAGTCCTCAAAGCCAACCACTATTTCACCCACATCTTCCAAAGCCAGAATATAAAATACATACTCCCCTCCTGCTGGGAATGAAGAATAACCTGAGACTCATTTAATTTTAGTTTTGCTATAGTGTGTAAAAACCATACCATTTAGGATTTCATAACAATTTGGGAGAAACTAATTTTCAAAAATTAACCTCAGAGTGGGTTTGGTGGGGATAAATGCAATTCACACGTAATTAAAAACTTCATGAGTTTCAACCTTTTTCCTCGCCAAGGCATTACCAGCTGTGTACCCTGTGAGAAAGCATGCCCCCTCCCAGAGGCTTCCTTTCCTTATAAGTGACAATAAAGGCTTAAACCAGATAATTTTGTAAAGTCCACAGTGGGTCTAAACTTGGGGAGTGTCAGCAGGTCACTTTATTATTCTGGGGATTGCCAGAAGACAGCTGAAGTGGCAGCACCTCTTTCTGTTGCTCAGAGAAGGGTAAACATGAGCCAGTGGCTGCTGGAGGAGGAATGAAGAGGCCCCTGGGTTCCTGGGGGACTCAAGAGTGATTCTGAAGTGCTTCCTGTGTTAGCGGAAGTCATGGGTACTCACCCCACAGTCATTGGCTCCATCTCCACACATGCCCACGTAATAACTATAGAGGAAAAGATACAACAATCAACAGCTCAGAAGTTCTCCTGAATAATTTCCATTATAACTAACTCCTGTGCGGTGTGTGTGTGTGTGTGTGTGTGTGTGTGTGTGTGTGTGTGTGTGTGTGTGTGCTGAACAGATGTGGAATCAAGAAAATGACTTGGGGAATCTTGGTTCAAGACGGAAAAGTCCCCCAACTTAATTTGTCTCAATCACTGAAATGACAGTGATAACACCATGGACATCAGCCATGACAGTAATCATGCATTTGAAAAGAAAGTCAGGTTGATTATGTCCTGCTCAAGGACATTTCACGCTCAAGGACATGGAGTCATGATTATAGCACTTCTCACTCAGCCTAATAGGCAGAGCACAGCCTCACCTGGCCAAGTTGCTCTCACTACTGCTGAATGCTCAGTTCCAACATTAGGAGGAAGAGTCCCTGGCACATGGTTTGGCCAATACAACCAGAGCATACACATGTTCTGGATGCGTCTCAGGGTGGCGGTGAGGTAATGTGTACCCCATGTATATCAGCTTGGTGTGTAACCAGGGTCTAAATGGAAGGACGAATTTAAAGTTGCTGCCAGGGGGAAGGGATTTCTTATGCAGAGTGCACTGGGCCTTCTATTACAAGTGAATGAATGGCATTATTATCAACAGTGGTCATGGCAATGCTTTAAATGATTCGGTGACATTTTCCAAAATCACACCATGAGTCATCAAAGTGAAGTTCTGTTAGAAGATCCCCTAAGAAGTCACCCTTTGACCTTCTCTATAGTTCGAATGTGGTCCAATGTGGACCAGTTCGGCCTAAGGCTGGGCTAGTGACATCACAAGCATTTGCACACCATGTCATAGTGTCGTCACTACCCGTGGTCATCTAATCGACTTCCTTCCTCAAGACTTAAAGCCCATGATGAGTGTCTGCATCACACCAGGGATCTGATATCTCCCAATGTTTCCTGGGTTTAGAAAGAGAGCTTGATCTGCATTGCCAAGGGTAGGTAGAGCTGTAAAGGGGATGACGTGTAACCAAGAAGTCAGCTCATTCTGTCCCTGTATGTATCTTCCTATGCTAATTGTGTTTCAGGGGGACATGGCTTTCAAAGCATCACCCAACAATGTTTCTCAGGCATTTGAAACAGGGAAAATGATTCTCTTTAGCCAATGCCATGTAACAAATGACCGTGTGAATGAGCTAGCCACTTACATCTGGCCACTTATGCAGTCTGGAAGCATAGGGAAACTAATGGGAGGCATTTGAGACTTTGTTATGAAGCTCAGCCAATAAAATCTGATAGTGAGAGGCAGTCTCCTGATTCCGACATGAGGAGGAAGGAACAATTACCTTGTTTCACTACTTGTATCTGTCTGAAACCTTCAGGCTAGAAACCGTAACACTTTCAGCAAGTAATGAATAGGTAGGTCTGACCTCAGCAAGAGCTTTCACGTTCAGACATGACTTGGTCGTCAGTGCTCCGAGAGAGTGTTGAACCTGCCCTCTGTCTCTGGTCCCTGCCAGCTGCCATTTCACTCATGCCCAGTAGCTCTGAAATGACCACTTATCCCTTACTGGATCAAGCAGACGACTTCTGGAGAGAACACACACACTGCCACCTTTCCCATTCTGACCCTCATTATTTCTCCTCTTTGCATGTAAGCAGGCAGTCTTCCTGCGAGATAGGCTTCACGGGCCACAAAGGGAGTGTTCTTTTGGGGGTAGCAGGTGTCTAAAATGGGTCTCCATTGTCCCCACCTCCTGCAACTCATGTCATTGTGAAATCCACTCCCTTGAGTATGGGCGGGACCTAGTGACTTGCTTCGAAAGAAAAGAAGGCAGCCAACTCTTCTAAGATTAGGGAAATAGGAACAGTAACACTATCCCTCCCTGCCCCCCTTTTCCCTCCGTCCCTTCTATACCTCTATCATTAATCTTGTTTTCTCACTCTACCTATGGATATCAGCCTCTTTCCCATGAAATGGCCCACATCTCAAGGAGCCGAGAATGGCTTCTTCCAAGGATCAGTAAAAACCAGTGTCTCCATTCCAACACAGGAAAGGAGCTTACGCATGTGAGAGGTGGTGGCAGAGCCATCCCCCAAGCGCCACCAGACTCCATGTCTGGCTAACACCTGGTTTTGTCCCTTCATAATTACACCCTTGGTTCAGGAACCAAGGCTTACCTGAGCCACATCTGGATACCTGATCCATAGAAACATAAACCAAACCAATGGCGTTACCCTCAGACACTAGGGGGTAGGCAGCTAGGCAGCCGTAGAGGACACCGCCATGGCCTCTTTTTCCACCTGTCACTTACTTTAATTTCTGAAACTCTTCCACGAGGCTTGATTTCTGCCCAGGAGACATCCTTGCAAAAATGGTGCCATTAACCAGAATCTAAAGAGAAAGACAATCATCGTAGCAAGCTTAGGAAGGAGACTGCTTCAGAAGTGAAAATCCTGAAAAGTCATTCCTGGCCATTGATTCAGCACCGCACTGGGCGTGTGACATTAGACCCAAAGCCAGGAATCAGAATGAGAGATTTAATGGTTTAATATTGAACTTGAAGTCCTCCAACACAGCTCCATTACTTTCTTTGCTGGACCCAATTACTTTTTTTTTTTCTTTTCCCCGGAGAAGGGGTAACGTCTCATTAACATAGCAACTAAGAGGCACATGAGCAATCAGACGGAGTGAAGTTCTTTGGGAAATGCAGCTCATCTCATTGTACACTGCTGCCACAGACAGAGAAGAGAGCAACTGATGAGTCCAACTCACTGTGCAAGCCTTAGATCAGTGACTTAACCTCTCTGAGTTTCAGATTCCCATCTCCACAACAGGGCCTGGAATAAGAGCTTTCTCAAAACCTTTAGCTCCCACATTCTTCAGTCCTTGACTTACCAAGGAGGGTAAGGTGGCAGATTATTTTAGACTCTGCTAACAGATGGTTGCAACCCTCAGCTTGGATGCCCCGTCTCTCCACCACACTGACAGCGCAACCCTGTTCGGCACTATTTTAAAGCAGGACGCACAGAGGACAAGATAATAAATGATTCTGAAAATAAACCCTGGTGCTTTTTGCTTCCTTCTGCTGTGATTGAAGACTCCAGGCAGCAGGGGAAGGGAGTTCCACCTGACACAGGCTAGTGGCTTTCAGAGAGACTGATGTACAAGGAAGGCTGATGTGTGGATCTACTAGGAAGTTGTGCCAGGCAGGGAACGGAGAGGCGGGGGCGCGGGGGGGGGGGGGGGGGG